ACACACACAAACTATCGATATTTCAAAAGTCAGTTTTGCCTAAAAATACTTTTGATGTTTACATGCGTTTGAAAAGCAGTACAGGTGTGGCAAAAGTGGCAACTCAAACTTACCTAGTCGGTAACAATATGTCTCCAAACAAAGCCCAATCAGGAATTTTTTAAGTGATGGAAAATGAATGAAAGAAAAAACTTAGGCGGAAAGAACTAATTTAAACATTTTATGGATGAACTTCACAAGATAAAGAAAAAAGCCAAGAGAAAAAAAACCGTACGAATAAGCTAACATACCTTACCACGTATAGCACAATGGCATATACTTCTCCAATCGCAGGTACATTCCTTGATAAGCATTTCAATGTCAGCTGTTAACAGTGGCTCGGGTAGCTGCCTGAGAAACCTGAACACCTCCAATAAATCGAACTTCTATGCAAAACTTAGAAAATTAGGACAACCTTTTAATCAAACCCGCTGCCTCATGTCCTTCAACGAAATTCAGTGGCGCCCCCTCATTAGCCTTCTTTTCAAGCTCATCTAAGCGCGATTTTGGACTTGATACTCGATAAATTCCTTCTAGATTTAACCCTGTAAAAGCCAATATGCAATGTGACTATGATGGCAGACTTGTAAATCTCACCATGTGTTTCTACGTAGTCAATGGCGTTGCGAAAGAAGGCAGGCAACGGTACCCCATCTAAGCTAGGATCTACTTCTATAGCCGTTTCCAACGGAACACCAAGCACTTGTCGCAGAGGCTGAACAGTTAGGAAAAAATTTAAAATAGAAAACTAGCAGTGTAACAGTGATTTGTGGCAATTTCTACTTCAAGCTCCTTCGACAAATATTCCTTATCCGTCTTTTCTGAGGTATCATCCAACTTCTTCCATTTTCCAAGCATTTTCTTCGTGGATTTTCGAGAAACTCTGAAAGATCTAAAAGATTAAGTTTATTTTACTCGAAATGTAATTAAGCTTACAATCTCAATCCCTTCCGTTTCTTTTCCTTCTCCAACTCCTCCACCATGCTATGGCGACTTCCGGTACAGAGCAACGTCTGCATATATTCGAATAATAGCACATTTACAATACTCATGTAGGGTCTGACCGATGTTGCAAGCAAACTTGGGATAACTAACCCAAACTTTCATTTGAAACAGAGATAAACTATTTTTATTCAACGCAAGATTTATACGGGAACAGATCATATACAACCATTCCATTTAGACGAATACTTCATATGTAAGTGATGACCATGTTCTAAGTTCCAAAGATAAATGTACGATAGGATGTGGTAAGTTTAATTTTCAAAAAATCCGATAATTTCGGTAGTCAAGATCTCTAATAACTGGAAAATCCTCGCAGACGTTGCCAGTGACCAGAATGAAACGCTTTCAGCATGATTTTGTAGAAAAACAATATATGTTCTAGTTACTAATATGAATGAAGAAAAAATGAGCTAGGCATAAAAAATTCTGACAGGTAAATGTAATAGGTAAACTATAATACGTAAATCATTTAAATCATGCAAAAAGACGTGGAAGCAACTAGAAAATGAACATTAAGAAAGAATTATTACAGAACAAAAAGCAAACACTTGTTTGTTTTTGGAGTACTTACACCAACTATACATGGCGATGTCCCTGTCAAGTAGGTTACCATTAAAAGGTAACCTCTCAGAAATGTTCCATGAGCGCAAGTGCTTTGCGTAAATTTTCAATGACAGCACCGGTATCCTCGTAGTCGATAGCGCTGAGTGCATATTTAGTGAACTTGCGAGCCTCGTTGAAAGCTTCTGTTGGTGGTTTTCGTTCGCCTCCAGCTGCGGTGTCTTAACATATTAGGAGGCAGCTTACATAAAATTAACTTCAATTTTAAATCAATAAAAAAGATATGGGAGTGGTGCAGAACTGATATTATACCAAAACGGAGGATGTGGAGCTAAAACCAAATAAAGTAGATGTTATCTGTATCTAGTTTTTGTATGATTTGTGACGTATAGCAGGTTGGATGCCTGACATGCTTTACCACATTCGGGAATTCTATTTGCTGTGCATTCGCACAAGTAAGGGATTTTGAAAGACTATAGATAGGGAAGATAAAAAATTGAACATCAGTCGAGAAAGAGTTTCAAATCACTTACCGCTCACATCTGTCACAAGTGTATTCAACGGTGTAGGATTGCTATAGTTGGGTTGTGGAGCGAGATTACCCGGAGCACCTGCATTTACTGTCATTCAAAAGGAAGCAAAAAAAGGGGGAAAACTGCGCACTACACCATAGCTTACCTGGTACATTTGGTAGACCTGCAAACCCATAATTAGACTGTGGTTGTTGGGGTTGCTGAGGAGGTGCAGGAC